GGGCTTGGCCTGAACTTGCACTGCAAGACGTACTGGAATCTCTCAGGCGTTAGGAAGTTCAGCAGGTGGAACAGTTCTTCCAGGTTGTTCTGCAGGGGAGTTCCTGTAAGCAGTAGCTTATGCTGGAGGGAGTAGCCATTCAACACACGGAAAAACTGGGAAGTGAAGAACACAGGAAAGGAGGGAAAAAAGAGAAAGATATGAAGGCCTCATATGTCATAGTCCTCAAAAGAACTTCTTTGGGAGGAAAAAAAAAGACAAAAGAAGAATATCAACATCCCACTAAACTAGGGTTCAATTCAGCCCACGTCAGCTGTTCAGGCAAGAGCTCCTAGTAGTTCACGTTCCAGCAGGATCACCAGGTCACCAGGATCACTGGTGACCTCACACCACTCTTCTGCATAGCTAAGACCTGCCTGCAGCAAATCCACCAAGTACCACCAGGTGCTGACAACCTGCCTTTCATCTATATAGCTACAAACCCTTTCAGACCACCAAATCACCGTGGACTGCTATGTTCTCTTCCCTCTAGATTAACACACCATATACCTGCAACTTCTCAGCTATTTCTGAAAGTCCTAAGGCAAAGTCACTCATCCTATTTTTATTAATTCCAGTGGTATCCTGAAGTTCTGAACAGAAAGCAGTAAATAAAAAGCTAAGTGTCTGTCAAATTATCTTTGAGGTACTTTGGGCTGGTCTTCACAACAATCAAGTGATTACCTTCCAGGTAGAGCTGACGAACTGGAAGGTACTTAACTGAGAGGTACAAAATGCACGACGTCTGCAAGTATAAACTGACAGTAAAGCAGCATTTTGTGAACTTGGCTGTTTCTCTGCTCATTAACATGATACAGTATCTAACTTGGAGTGGTTTGTGCTACATGGCAAATAAGAACCAAGGAACTCAGTACCACTAATGCCAAATCACACCAGAAGGATCAGTGCAGTAAGTAGCTCTTACAGAGATTTATCCTTCTACATAATTACCTTTAATAATATTATCATCTTCAAATGAAACATTGAAATTACTGAGCATATCCRCAAAATCGTATTTTTGGTAGGATAGGTAGATAACAATCACAAAACCTGTCAAGAAACTGCAGCTCTGCCTTGCAACCAACCACCTAAAGCCATCTTTATGGGACAGGAAACTGTTCCRGAGAAGGGCAGACTGAGATGGTCAACCAATTTTAAAGGACAACCAATCATAACTTAATTGCAAAGCCCTGAGTGTTCATTATAGTCTTTCAATTCACAGCTAGGAACAGCAAGCATCCAGGGGAGGTCCCAGATGACTGGAGACTGATCAGTGTGATGTCCATCTAACAAGAAGGGGCTGATGGAGGGTCCAGGGAACTACAGGCCTGTCAGCCTGACCTCAATATTGGGAAAGTTAGGGGGCAGATCATCTTGAGGGGGATCCCACAGCACATGTGCAACAACCAGGGGATGAGGCCCAGTCAACAAGGGCTCGTGAAAAATCAAGTTCTGCCTGACCAACCTGACCTCCTTCTATAACCAGCTGACTTGCCTAGTGGATGGGGGAAAGGCTGGGGACATGCTCTACCTTGACTTCACTAAGGCCTTTGACAGTCTCCCACTGCCTTCTCCTGGAGAAGCTGGCAGCTCACKGCTTACACAAGTGGACCCTTCACTGGGCAAGAAATTGGCCAGATGGCCAGGCAAAAAAAAAAAAATAGTAGCAAATGGAATCAAACCCAACTGGTGACCAGTCACAAGTGGTGTTCCCCAGGGGTCAGCAGTCCCCTTTAACATCTCTATGGATGATCTGGACAAGGGGAYTGAGTGCACCTTCAGCGAGTCTGCAGAAAACACCCAGCCAGGAAGAAGAGTTGATCTGCTTAAGGCTCTGCAGAGAGAGATAGACAGGCTGGACCAGCAGGCTGAGGCCAACTGTATGAGGTTCAACAAGGCCAAGCATCAGATCCTGCTCTTCAGTCCCAACAACCCTATGCAGCRCTGCAGGTTTGGGACCAGAGTGGCTGGAGAGCTGTGTGGCAAAAAAGGATCTGGGGGCATGGCCCATAGCTGGCTGAACACGAGGGGGACAAGGCAGCCAAGGGCCTCCTGGCCAATATCAGGAACAGTGACCAGCAGGACCAGGGAAGTGATTGTCCCCCTGTACTCAGGGCTGGTGAGACTGCACCTTGAATACTGTGTGCAGTTTTGAGCCCTTCACTACAGGAAGGACATGGAGGTGCTGGAGCATGTCCAAAGAAGGGCAGCAAAGCTGAAGGAGCTAGAGCAGAGACCTTACAAGGAACAGCTGAGGGAGCTGGGGTTATTTAGTCTGGAGGAGGCTCAGGGGAGACCTTATCGCTCCCTACAACTATCTGAAAGAAGGTTGCAGAGAGGTGGGGGTCGGTCTCTTCTCCAGAACTACTGATAGGACAAGAGGAAATGGCCTCAAGCTGGCCAGGTTCAGGTTAGACATTAGGAAAAATTTCTACAAGAAAGGAATAGGCAAGCATTGGAACAGGCTGCCCAAGGAAGTGGTGGAGCCACTGCCCCAATAGCATTCAAGAAACATGGAGATGGGGCACTTTGGGGCACGGTTTAGCAGGCATGGTGTTGAAGGACTTACAGTTGGACTCCACAATTTCGAAGACCTTTTCGAACCACAATGATTTTATGATTACAATGTTTCATAAAAAAGATTAGGAAATTTCACTTCAAGCACAGCCGTGATGTCTGGAAAATATGCCTCACTGAAGTCTGCAAAAACCCTAGAGAAGAAACAAGACAATTCTCCTCCAGCTTCTCTCTCCCCTACAACAGGTAGCTTTAGCTGACAAAGCCTTCAAGAACATATACAGATYCACTTTTTCAGTAACACTTTAGGACAATATGCATTGGAACTGGAACTCAGTTAAAATCAAACAAGTCAATACCAGAGTTAACAGGGCACAAGAATTTACAGAACGGCTGCATTAAGACAGTAGGTCTACTCTGTTGAACTCCACAGGCTTAGTTAGGTGCATCCTCACATAAATGCAGCTGTCGGGCTCTCAGCATCTCCCCAGCTGATTCTGACCACTGGTGATCAGCTCTCCTGTTTCTGTAAGATGCAATTACCACTGCTACACAAGCATACGAATATACATAGGAATTCTGATCCAGAAGCAGAGTAATTGTGTTCATATCACTCATTTTATGCTCAATGTGGTAAGATTTTCCATGGCAGAAGTMATATAGACACAGGATCTGCTTCCACAGAAGGCTTTCATATCCTAGAGCAACAAAACCCAGCCAGGTTTCTGTTTTCCAGTATATGCCAATTGCCTATTCACTCAAAGACATTGCTACCAGTAAAATACATTAACAAGAGAAGTTGTTACCAGGGAGAAGCAGTCTGCAGATGAAGGATATACATTTTTTTCTGTTTTTCCTTTTAAAAAATGCATCAATTTGACTCTTGAAGGGCAAGCTAGATGTTAGCAGATCAGCTCTCAACTTTGCAGAGCCTCTCCCTGTTCCCCTCCAGGACGCAGGCTGTGCCTACAGACCTTACCACATTCGCTTTCTTGTACCTTAGACTGGTTGTTCTTCAGCCGGTGAGCTTCATCCACTATGAGGCAGGCCCAGTCTATAGAACCCAGTATGGCCATATCAATTGTGATCAGCTCATAGGAGGTAAGAAGTACATGGAACTTCACAGCTGCCTCTTTCTACAAAGAGAAAAGGATAAACATAATAATGGGATAAGGGAAAGACCCAGGACAGAGAGGCAAGGTCATTTCCTYGTTGCCACTTCCCTGTCAATAAACTGCAATTACTGCCCAAACCATTTTGGCTTTTAACATTCTACTGCTCACACCTGCAGTCCTCTAGCTCCCTCACCACTGCCTCCTTCCGAGCAGCTGCCAAATCTCCTAACAGAGAAGTTTACAAGTGAGTAGTGAATAGAGCCATGTCAGGAAAATGGTCCTTGGCAAAGAATGGCTCATCAAAAGCTGAAGACCCTGAAGTCAGGCAGATTATTGCAGAACTTCACRTTATTGTCAGTGGTTCATACAGTTCTAAGTTTCAAGGAAAGCCAAAGAAWCCTAATCCAGCTACCTGTGGGGAAACTGTAGCACCCTTGCTTCTGCAGCCCTCCCTCCAGCCATGTTGGTTGCAGGCAAGCGGGCTGCAAGATCTAGATTCAGTGTAAACAGAGGATTTAGAGAGTTATTAATGAGACTTAAGTTTTACAAAAATCAGCCCCCTCAGGGCTGTTCCATCTCATCCAGACAGAGTGTGATTTCTCAGCTAACTGTAGCCTCACTGCCAGGCATTTTTTCATAGTAGGAACTAAACAGACTCAAATTCACACAAATCGGCAATTTTAACATTGACTTAAGTCTGTACAAAATACGATACACAACTTTAMAGATTAATTAGAAGCAAGAAAGGGGCTTGCTTATAGTCAAGCATTGCCTTAGTCACCAYATCCTCTCCCCCTTCCCTAGTACAGAATTTTTATGGGCTGGTAGAAGCATTTAAAATGCAGATTAGTCTGAAGACCCACTAGCCATCAGCTGGAAGCGGCTTCCTTGGGGAAGTTGCTTGTCAGTAYCAGCTTCCATGGTTTCTGCAGGATTTGAACCTCAGCTCCCAAAAATCRTATCGTGCATCCCGTCCGACATACACCTGCATTATGGCCAAGTTCCGTACCTTCATTCTGGATGCCTTCTTGCCTCCACGTATGGCATTATCCTCAAAGGTGAATTCATTCTCACGGATGATGGCCCGGCTGTCTTTGTCACCCACATAAGTCACAACATACATATCTGGGGCCCACATCTCAAATTCTCGTTCCCAGTTGATGATTGTGGAGAGGGGGGCACTCACCAAGAAGGGTCCTTTTGAGTGACCCTGTGAAGAGGGCCATTAAAAGCATTAGCGGAATTCATCCACAACACAGGCAGYGTCCCCCTCAGCACTGACTGCGCAGCCACGTTTTCCCCTTACCTCTTTGTACAGGGAATATAGGAATACAGCTGTTTGCACAGTCTTTCCCAAACCCATTTCATCCGCCAAGATTGTATCTGTGCCCTGGGCCCAGGAGAAACGCAGCCAGTTCAGTCCTTCCAGTTGGTAGGGATGCAAGGTTCCTCCCGTCACATCAAGGTACTCYGGTTGCCGGTCATACTTCACCGTGGGCTACAGCAAAGGAAAGGAAGCAGTGAAACCCTGCTGCCAGCACTCCTTTCCCAGTCACCTACATATCGCCCAGTACAGGTGAGACTCCATGGGAGAGAACCAGACTAGTACCACAGTCTAACCTGCAAGCAGCCAAACTGCATCCCTCTGAAAAGGTTTTTGCTAATCCTCTTCTACAGAGGCACAGACAGTCTCAGAAAACAAGAAAGCTCCATAAACCATTCTGACTTTGGGCTAGAAAACCCAAACCTTATACTCGTCACCCTTCACCTTCATCACCCATTCAATCAAATCAGAGGCACCAGCCAGTACCACTCAATTGATGCATTTTTTCCCTCTCCCAAATCAAGTATCTATGTATCAGACAGCTTTGAAGCAGGAGACAGTAACTTACATCCACTGTAGGAGTTTCAGGGGGCCTTTCCAGTTTCCGCATCTTCACTTTCTTTAATTTCTTTCCAGGTCTGCCCTCTTCACCTCTCATCAGCTCCCTGTGCAGATACAGTTCAAGAAGTGTCCAAGTTTAATAACGKTTGTGAAAGATCAAATGAAAACTATTGCATGGAATAGGACGGCAATTATCCAACTCACGTATTTCAAGAGAATTCAAATATAATAACATTCATGAATTGCTATGAAGGCATTAAGGTCCCTGCCCAAAGGGGTACAGAGTCAGCAACAGAAAGATGCTTCCTGATTATCTCTATGCATCAATCCAGCCATTGCTATGGACTGACAACAGGCTCCTAATAGTTGCTGAAGACAAAGGAAGTAATTCAGCTTATAGATACTGTTCTTACCTGTGATTCCAGTAGGCTTGTTTGTAGAGGTCATAATCCTGGATATCCACATCCTCACTTTCCCAGGATGCCTGGTCATAGGGTAGGTCTCTCCACTTAATCAAATAGTGGACATTCCCCTTCTTATCCACACTGAGGAAGAAAGGGGCAAACGTCAAGCTTAGCGGGGCAGAGACTCACTCATTCAACCCACTCAGAGAAGGAAAGAATACCTTAAAGCCACAGGTTTCTGTTGCTTTACAGCAGAACAATAGTGTCCATCACACAAGCAAATTTTCCGGGGCTCCCATTACTACCTTTATTCAAGTAGCAGCAATTAGCTCATCCACTCCCCCTTAAACAAGGCTTAATGCTTTTGTTAGAACTCTCTTGCTCTTACAGAAACACAGGTATTTAGGTGCAGGCATGTTTGCTGCCTCCTCTACCTGTGGTTGAGGATCCTGTGGATCATCATCCACTCGGGCTTGATGCCGTATCGATAGAAGCGCTCCTCCATCTCAGCATATTTGGGGTCCTTGTTTTTTCTCTTTCGGCTTTTCTCCTCCTCCCCACCAAAGTCTCCYGAGGGTGGTTCATCCATATCGTTCTTGCGCTGGTAGTTTCGAAACATGACCTGGCAGTGCAGCTCCAGCTAGAATCAGGACAGAGACAGTGACGTCAAGTATCTCTTCCTGAATATTCACAGAAATAACTATCCACTCCTTTGACTTTAGCGCTGACTCACCTGCAACTCTGACACCCAAGAGCAGTGCCAGTAGGACATGCCTTGCCACTTGACAAAGAACTGCCTCTCGGGGCGACCCTCGAGAGGCTTAGGGGGAGGAGCGTTAGGGTCTGCGTCAGGGGGACGTGGGGGCGCAGGGCCCACTGGGGGCTGGCCCCATTTCCAGATCAAGATCTTCTGCACCTTTCCTTTCAAAGCTGGGCACTAGAAAATGAGAAAGACCTCATGAGAGACTGCAAGTGCTGCACTCCTCAGCACCTGAATGCTGCAGACACACATGCATGCATACACACACACACACTCAGTTCCTTTTCTTAGTTATAACTGTACTATGCAGATGGCATTTCCTTTTTGAAACTCTYGGGCTTGGAACCTTTCACCCATTCATCCTAAGCCTTTTCTCTGGACTGTYTACAGTTTGTCTTTTTCTAGGACTAGCAAACCCCAAGCTGGATCCAGCAGCTCAATTTAGTGGTCTCCCCAGAGTAGTACTAATTCCGTTTCTACTTGAAACACAGAAATTGCTAGGCTTGGTGAGGCCAACACCCCAACCAACACTTAAATGGAAACTTGCACAGAAACTATCTAGCTGTTGACAGACCCCAAGGCAGCCTGAATTTTTACCACAGAAGTCCACACTACTTAATGAATGCATCTACTACCATTTATAAATACTTCACTTTGATGACATCCTGCAGCAGTACRAAGTTTTCCCCAGCTGGCTGCAAGAAACAGCTCGGCATGTTACAGATCCTGTAGCTCAAAAACTTCTGGCTTCAGTATTAAAGTATTTTTAAATGCTGAATTTCTTTGCAACTATACTATCTGTCCGTACACATAGTGCAAATTTTATGAAAAACAATGGCTGTAGTTTTGTTTTCTGCTCTCTAGAAAAACGACCGAGCTACAAGATACCATCCAGCCACGCAAAGCAATCTTTAGATGAACTATGAGAAGTCCTCTCTGAGGACTAAGCACCTATGGCAAAAGATGACAAGCTAGTGGGAGTAGATCCACCCTCTCTCGTCACAGTAGAGCAGTACTAGCAAAAACTCACAGTGCAGCGTGGACACAACCACTCCCCATTGGGAATCTCTGGCAACGGCGGGTTCAGACAGTGGATGTGGTAGGATGAAGGACAGGCATCACAGCACAGCAACTCTCCTCCATCCTTGCAGACTCTACAGAACTCCATGTGGTGGTCATCCTCTTCTTCAGCATCRCCCACCACATCCTCCAGGATCTCCTCACCTTCAGAGTTATCTTCCTTTGCTTCCCACTGAATGCCCTCTTTTTCCTATAGAGGAGTCAAGTCACAAAACTAAAGTTACATATCCATAACCATATCCTGAAAACAGAAGAGCAGATGAAAATCTCTTGACCTCACCCTCCACAATCTCTTGCAYAGTCTGTGGGAATTCAGTACTCACACAGTGTGGGCAGCTCCATTTGCCCTCGGGGGCTTTCTCCATGTCTGGGTCCAGGCAAACCATGTGGTATGCACGAGGGCACGTGTCACACAATATAATCTCTCCTCCTTGCTGGCAAACCTCACAGTAGTCCTGGTGATCAGTCTCATAGCCGTCCACAGCCACTGCAGAGTCATCCTCCCCTAAAAAGCATGGCAAGGAGTTACAGGCCACAGCCAAATAGATTTTACAGCAAGAGAGGCTACTCCCTCAAAACCAATAGCCAAAGCAGTAACAGAGAGATTCAGAACCCAAAACCTCCTTCCTCAAGTATGCTGCTAGCATATAGATGGTACACAGATCCTCCTCTTATGTTTCCGCACATTTAGCTGTACTTCCATCTCCAACGGACAACATGGACCACTACCTTTCTTTTTCTTTTTCCCAGCTTTGAGTTTTTTGCGACTGCGACTACTACGGCTTGTAGATCCATCGGAAACAGAGTAGCTATTGATGCTGGCATCATCAAAGTCTGACTCCACATCTAGATCATCATCTTCACTCTGGGATAGGTAAGAAGAAAGTTAAGTGACTCAGGGATGCACACTGGGGACAGCACGCAGGCACATCCCAGCGTTTCTAGCRTCAGCACCTTCCCAAAAGGCAGAGGATTCACTTACCGATGATCTTTTCCGCTTGGAACCGAAGCCTCCCAGTTTGATTTTCAAAGGCGCCACCTTCTTTGTTTTAGGTTTCTTCATGTCGGGAATACGAGGACTAGCCTTCGGCTTCCGCCGGGCGTTGGGTCCTGAGAAGCGAGCAGCGTGTGTGTGAGCACTGCGGCYAGGACCGCTCCCTGCCAGCCCGCGGCCGGCGCTCCCGCCTCACCTTTGCCCTCCTTGGTCTTGGCCTTCCTGAGCGGCACATCCACGGGCGGCTGCGGCAGGACAGCATCCACATTGGTCACCATACTCTCCACTACCGCAACAGCGGCCGCCGCTGCCGCGGCCACGGATGCACCTGAACTGCCCTTGAAGGGGTTGTTTGTGCTGAACTCCCTCCATTTGGCTCCCAAGACCATCATCATCTTCGACACCGCTATTTTGGGGTTCTTGGCTGCAATAAGTGGCCTGTGTACAGGTAAGAATGAAGTTAGTGGACCAATCTCAAGTCTGAATCTTTCCTCCCTGCTTCCTCCCCCCACCCCAACATCACCTTTCTTTCCCAAGCCACATTCCTTTCTAATCTCTGATCTCAACAGACAGGAAATCTCTCCACCTCCCACCTTTCAAACAGTGCTCTGGGCCTTGGAAAGCAAAATGGAATTTAGCACATTACTGAAGAAAGGGGTCTGGGAGCTAGGACTTCTGTGCCATCTCAGTCACTGAGAACTGAAATTTGGGTCAGTTTTTACTGTTGCTTAAGTTTCTACTCTAGGGAGAAAGATAGTCTCTACTGTGCCTGGAAGGTCCAAAAGCAAGGAACCCAATCCTTGCACCCCTTCTTTACTGTTCCAGCATATCTCCAGGCACTGAAAGCTTGCAGCTCACCTGACAAACTGGCTGAAAGCTTTGTAGTTGGTGAGAGTACGATAATCTTCCTCTGTGAAGATGTGATCAATATCCTCCATACCCCAGTCCTCCAGGAGTTGAGCAGATGACTTGGGCTCCTGTACAAAGAAAATCATAGCAGCTCTGTGAAAAAGCACAAGTTGTAGGTAGCATCAAAATATCTATACATCTTCAGACTACTTGGCAGACCTGGATTTTTCCTCATTCACCTATCACTAGCAGAGACCACAGGAGATCAGCGGACATGAAGAGATGTTACAGATCCAGTATATATTCTAGAGAAGTTTATGGAGTAAGGGGAAAAAAAAAAAACCACACACAGWCAAAAACCAAAACCAACCTCACACTCATATCACACAAGGTAGGGAAACAGTCAAGACAAGCAGACTTACGAGAGGAAAAATATACTAAATATCCCTCACCTTAGAGTCATCATCCTCTTCCTCCTCCTCTTCCTCCTCTTTGCGCTTGGCTTTGTTTTTCTTTTCTTTCTTAGGCCCTAATTTCTTCTTCTTCTTCTTCCCAGGAGTATAGTCACTGCCCTCACTGTCAGAGCGCAGCACCTCCTCCTCTTCTTCCACAAACTCATTCCCCTCACCAGAGCTGTCCCCCAGCTGCAGGGGGAGGGAGAGAGAAGGTCAGGCAGCTGTGAGAAGATACCCCAGATAAGTACTAAATGCCACATTACCCCCCATCTCTAAAGGATTCATAAAGAAGAATTGCTGCCACAGGCCAAACAAAAGTAACAGCCAGCTCAACCACCCTTGCAGATATTAGAGTGTGGTCTTAAAGTAGGCTTTGCCTCACCTCCTTCTTCTGGCGCTTGCTGAGCTTGGGCACTTTGGGTTCCTTTAGTTTCTTGGGTTTCTTTTTCTTCTTTATCTTGGGCGTTTCAGCCTCTGACAAAAGCTCTTCTTCTGGTTCTTCTTCAGGTTCTAGAGGGGAAAGGTGACATGTCACACTCTAATCCTATCTGCAGCATAGCCAGYTTCTCACAGACATCACTTCATTGGTCTGTTCCTTGCCATGTACRTACAAACACAGAAGCGTTTAAGGTTGCGTGCCCATGAAACACATTAGTCAGTCATGAGATATGGGATTTCTCTACATGCCTCACACAGAACCACAGACTGGTTGAGGTTGGAAGGGACCTCTACAGATCATCTAGTCCAACCCCCCTGCTCCAGCTGGGACACCCAGAGCATATGGCACAGGGTCACATCCGGGCAGGTTTGGAAGATCTCCAGAGAAAGAGACTCTACAACCTCCCTGGGCAGTCTGGGCTGTCCGAGGGCTCTGTCACCATCACAGGAAAGAAGTTCTTCCTCACATGGAAATGGAACTTCCTGTGTTTCAATTTGTGCTCATTACCCCTTGTCCTGTCACTGACCACCACCAAGAAGAGTTTGGCCGCATCCTCTCACATCTCCCCTTCTCATTTCCCTCTMTATCTCTTCTCCAGAGTTAMACCTGATTCGGGGAGCAAACGATTGCTCTAACGAACAAGAAAAGATCATCGAATAGATTGCCACCTCTAAAGGACACAGCAGGCAAAACAGGGAGTAGCCCTGTTAGCACAGGGAAGGGAGAATGAAAAGACAGCACACAACTCCTTTTTGGTATGCAAAAACAGACATGGAAAATGCATTTGTGAAAATCCATCTAGGACACTGCCTCACTCTATGGGCCTCCAGGGGCCCAGAACATGGGCCCTCCATGGGCCCAGAACAAAACAAGCAAAAACAAAACACACACACAAAAGTATCCAGCCACTGCAGCAGTACAGAAGGCCCTACATTGGCAAGCAGGATAGAGGACAGTAAGCCACTACTTGCCCTCTCTAACACAGGTACATCACTACTCCCAGCCACTCCCAACAAGATATGRATTTGCCAACTCGCTCCCCTCCAAGCAGCCATCAAGCTCTCCCTTGGCTACAGAAAGGCGTCGCTCTGGCTCCCAGCACCAGGGCACAGGCCGCGGGCAGCCTCTCCTCTGCGGCAGGCTCCGGAGGAGCCCGGCCATTCGCCCTGGCGGCCGCCCCGCCCCTCGCGCAGCAGAGTCGCTCCTGCTCCCTCCATGGGAAAATGGCCTCCTGGCCAAGGGAGCCAGGCAGCACAGAGGGAGCTACAGGTCGCGGGAGCTACAGCCGCTGCAGGTGAGATGAGACAGCACTTGCCATCTGGGGCTCTGCCACCCCCATCACATCCCCAACTGATCAGTACCTCTTTGCTCACACCATCCTGCAACACCTACCCGTGGATCCCACATCTTCCTCTCCGGCAACTTAGGATTTAGCACCTCTCAAGTCTCACCCTCACCTATGTTACCTAAGGCTCTTAAATCTACAAGAACTTCAATAGCTTTTCTTATCAAAATTTCCCATACAAGGCTTGCTGACAGCTCCTCCTGCCTAAAATTATAGGGATATCAAAAAAGCTCTAAAATCAAAATTTACGAAAGAAAAAAAATCTTTACAGTTTCAACATTTTCTCATATAATATTATAACAGTAGAGAAAACCTGAATAGGAAAAATTCAGACTTGATTGACGCTGCAGGACATTCAGACACATGCTACTGCTTTCTGTGACAAAGCACATAACGCAGGTGCAAGGCCACAGGGCAAGCCAGCAACAGCACGAGCAACAGCAAAGTACCCAGAGCTCTACCCCAAGCCCCTGTGTGGCGACCAGGATGTAGGCACCAAGAGCTAGGTACAAAGACCATGCGGAAAGCAAAGGTGAGCAAGCAGCACAGAGCAAGAACCAAAAGGAACCTCAATACCTGGGTGTGGTGAAGAAAGTGGGTCACACAACAGCCCAGGGCAGTTTGCTCTGGACGTCAGCAGGTCTGAGCTCCCAGATGAAAGCAAGCCAGACTCCCTGCCCTCTTCCATAGTGCCCCTCTCCCCCTCCATCAAATAYGAAGCTTGCAAACATTTTAACATCCTGTCAGAATCCAGCCCTCCACATCCACCCCCTAGCCCTCCCCGCAGCACAGACCCCTGACAACCTGCAATGCCTTGGAACAAAGTCAGCTCTACCCGACTAAAAGCCTCCAGCCTCGCATTCTGAGGTAGCGCCAGGACGYTCATATCAAAACTGAAAGACGCATGCACGACTCGTAGTAAAGTACATTCCCCTACACATCATCTTCAGAAATCTCACATACTCAGCATGAAAACTGCATTGCCCAAAACCATACACTTGCACACACGTGTGCCCATAGGCTCTGTACCTTGATGCTGGGGGATAGTGTTGTTCAGCAGGATTTCCATGTCATCATCATCACTGCCCCCCGAGCACGGGGATGGAGATCCAATGCCTGATGCCATGTCCCCCAAACTAGGGGGGGCCCAGGCTTATACAGGGTGTCTTGCTGCCAGTCAAGCCAGTACTTTATTGGGGAGGAAAAAAAAAAGAAGTTATAGAACAGCTGAACTCCTTTTTCCCAAGCACTATTCTAACAAGAGGATCAGTGGGAAATCTCAGACAGCAGCTTTACTGGATTTGGAGTCTATGGATAACAGAAACACTGGCAGCAGCTATTGGAGTTGTGATGAAGTAAGCTCCGAAGACACCACATAATAAACTGAGTCAGCGGCTGATTCCCTGCAAATCGGCCAAAACAGCTGTCTAATGGGAAAAACTCCGGCCTCCTGCAGCCAGGTGCCAGAGCAGAATGAGCGCCCCTGGTTATCCTGCTTTGGACAGGCAGAAGGAGAGGCGCATTTCCCAAAGGAGGGCTCGGCCCGGCGCGCTGTCAGCGGGCCAGGGCCGGGCATCGCTAGGGCGGCGGGGGCCGAGCAGGCGCTGCGGGCGGCCC